GAGAACAATACTGGTCCCAAAGTAGAGCCTTGTGGGATCCCTGCTGAACATTCAAGGTAAGACGACTTAGTGTCACCAACACTCACAGATTGTCTTCTGTTGGACAAGTAAGATTGAAACCAAACTAGCGCATCCTCTGCAAAGTTGAAGTGAGTTAGTTTAGACAGAAGGGCTCGATGATCTACTCGAACGCCTTCCCTCTGGGGTCCTTCATTTAACAGTCACAGTCGGGGCCTTCGGGTCCAAATGGACTCGAAGGGCGGGATTAATATTTATGAAAAAAAATCATAATGTTTTTTTTTTGTTTTGAGATAATTTTATGATTTATAATTAATATTTATGCAATGATTATGACCTCTTTTTTCTCCTATTGAATATAATAGAATTTTTAAATATTTTTTTTTTTTTTTTTTTATTAAAGCTGTATTTCATTTTAGAGTCAAGCCTAGGCCTCATGAAAGCAATTTTTGAAATGAGATGGATGCCATCTGGTGGACACACGGAGCATTTTAAAATTTCAAAACAGATATATGTAATCTGAATTTATTAGTGTGTATGTGTTACTATTTTTTTTACAACCACTTAGACTATTCAAATCCTGTCCCTAATTTTTTTGGGTGTTCATATACCAAGTACCAACAAAGTCACCAAATTTCAGACCATTCCGATGAAGCTATGATTTTTAATATTTTTTTATTTAAATGCTTCGGGTCCATTTGGGCCGAAGGACCACAGAGGGTTAAATCCAAAAAGACTGCACCAACACAGGTGGTCTTGTCAAGCAAGGACTTCACTGTTTCTACGAAGACACAGTTTGCCGTCTCTGTGGAATGGTACTGGCGGAACCCAAATGGCATGGGATGCAGGAGAAAATGCAGTGGCTGAGGTGTTTATTCAGCAGCTTGGCGATCCACTTCTCTGCAACCTTAGATACAACAGGGAGGATGCTGATGGGGCGATAATTTGAAGTGTTTGTTTTGTCTCCTGATTTTAAAATTGGTGAGGCTATAGCCACCTTCCATCCCGACTGAGCGAACAACTGCCATTTTAATTGATAGATTTATCAAATGCGTTATCGGGCATACCAGCGCATCTTTGTGTATTTTAAAAAAATGTGTGTCAAGGCCATACGCATCTTTGGCCTTTGACGATTTCATAGACTTGAGCCACTTCCAGATCCGTTATTTGTTCTGAAAACCGTCTGTCCAGGATTAATAAGCTTACGAGATATCTCTGAGGAACTAAACATTTGAGTTATTTCATTGACAGAATTAATAAAGAAATTATTGAATTCAGTTGCTAATTCTTTTGGATTATTTATCAGCTCGTTGTTAACTTTTATTTCCAATCTATCATTGTCCATTTTATTTTGCTTTCCAATTAGTTTATTAATATTTTGCTATATTAGTTTGCCATTTCCATTTGCACTTTGCACATCCAAGAAAAAGTTTGCCTTCGCTTTACGTAAGGTATGAATTGTTTTATTTCTCATGGAAGTAAATCTTTGCCTATCAATGGTAAGACCAGTTTTTAAAAACACTTTGAGTAAGATGTCTCTTTCTTTCATAAGTATTTTACATCCTCTTTTTATTAAAGGTTCCATAACATCTGTAATTTTAGCGTTAAGTATCTTGGAATTGGTTTCAATATCATTATCCGAAAACAACTTCATCTTCATTTAGAATAATATCAAGATTTTGATGTAGATGTTTTGAAATAAAATTGTGATGGTTATTAAATGTAGATTAATTAAATCGCTTTTTACTTCATTTTCGGGAGACAAATACAATATTATGATCAGAAAGCCCTGTAATGAGATTGTATGTTTTACCAATCCTCTCAGCATGATTTGTGAATAACAGATCTATTAGAGTTTCCGAGTGGTTTGTTATTCTGGTTGGTGTTTTTATCATTTGTGTTAAATTAAAATAGTCAGTAATGTGTTTAAGAGTTGTTCGTTCCCTCTTTACATTCCAGTTAATATTAAAACCACCCATTAAAATAATTTCCTTGGTTTTATCACAGTGATTAAGAAGAAGTTTAAGTTGTTCATAAGAATCATTTTTTGCAGTGGGCTTTCTAAATATACACACTTTAACAAAGGACATTGTTGTAGAAAGTGATGTCATCAACACCTACACATTCCAACACAATTTCACTTGGCCATTCAATCACTGTGCACTTTAGAGTCTTTCTAACGTATATTATTACTCCCCCACCCCTCCCATTATTTCTGTCCTTTCTAAATACATTATACCCAGGCATACTTACAACAGCCTCAGGGGAAGAATGGGGTAACCACGTCTCTGAGTCCTAAAAGTCACTATTGGAACTGCACAGCAGATGTTCCAGTTGTTCACGTTTTGGTTTCATACGGCGTATATTTAAATGTCCACCAAATAGTCCCTTTACTTTTGATAACGGATCCCAAACTACCCTTGCCTGATTTAATGTGCGAAATATTTTGTTGGTTCTGTGCCGTTTGAAGACTGGATTCCTATGTTTTATTGGAAGAGTCTGTTGATTCACATTGCAAAAGTCAGCAACAGTTGTTTGTGTTAGTGGAGTCACACGCTCACCATTAAATACTTTATTGCATTTCAAATACATTTCCTTTTCCAATAGTGCATTGAATTTGTATCTGTATTAAAATCTGTATTAAAATTATGCTCTTACATATTTTCACAATAAAACTTTGAACACACTTTAAGTATATATTTTTTTAAAACATATTTCAGAAAAATACTCTTAAAGGGGAAGTATTGTGTAATTTTTTAACTGTATGCTCAGAATTATCTGGATGGATGGGTGGATGGAATGATTGATGGGTGGATGGATGGAATGGATGGATGATAGATGGATGGAATGATTGATGGATGGATGGAATGATTGATGGATGGATGGATGGATGGAATGGATGGATGATAGATGGATGGAATGATTGATGGATGGATGGAATGATTGATGGATGGATGGATGGATGGAATGGATGGATGATAGATGGATGGAATGATTGATGGATGGATGGAATGATTAATGGATGGATGGATGGAATGATTGATGGATTGATGGGTGGATGGATGGATGGATGATGGATTGATGGGTGGATGGATGGGTGGATGGATGGATGATGGATGGAATGATTGATGGATGGATGGAATGATTGATGGGTGGATGGATGGATGATGGATTGATGGGTGGATGGATGGGTGGATGGATGATGGATGGATGGAATGATTGATGGATGGATGATGGATTGATGGGTGGATGGATGAGTGGATGGATGATGGATGGATGGAATGATTGATGGATGGATGGATGGAATGATTGATGGATGGATGGATGGAATGATTGATGGATAGGTGGATGGATGGAGTGATGGATGGATTGATGGATGGATGGAGTGATGGATGGATTGATGGATGGATGGGTGAATGGATGGATGGATAGAGTGATGGATGGATTGATGGATGGATGGAATGATGGATGGATGGATGGAATGATGGATGGATGGATTGATGGATGGATGGAATGATGGATGGATGGATGGAAGGAATGATGGATGGATGGATGGATGGAGTGATGGATGGATGGATGGAATGATTGATGGATGGATGGATGGATAGATGGAGTGATGGATGGATGGATGGATGGATGGAATGATTGATGGATGGATGGAGGGATGGGTTGATGGATGGATGGATTGATGGATGGATGGAGTGATGGATGGATGGAAGGATGAATGGAGTGATGGATGGATGGATGGATGGAGTGATGGATGGATGGATGAATGAATGGATGGATGGAGTGATGGATGGATGGATGGAGTGATGGACTGATGGATGGATGGATGGAGTGATGGATTGATGGGTGGATGGATGGAGTGATGGATGGATTGATGGATGGATGGATGGATGGGTGGATGGATGGATGGAGTGATGGATGGAATGATGGATGGATGGATGGAATGATGGATGGATGGATGGAATGATTGATGGATGGATAGATGGAGTGATGGATGGATGGATGGATGGATGGATGGAATGATTGATAGATAGATGGATGGGTTGATGGATGGAATGATGGATGGATGGATTGATGGATGGATGGATGGAAGGATGAATGGAGTGATGGATGGATGGATGGATGGAGTGATGGATGGATTGATGAATGAATGGATGGATGGAGTGATGGATGGATGGATGGAGTGATGGATTGATGGATGGATGGAGTGATGGATGGATGGGTGGATGGATGGGTGGATGGATAGGTGGGTGGATGGATAGGTGGATGGATGGATGGGTGGATGGATGGATGGATGGATGGATGGGTGGATGGATGGGTGGATGGATGGGTGGATGGATGGATTGATTGATGGGTGGATGGATGGGTGGATGGATGGATGGGTGGGTGGATGGATGGATGGATGGGTGGATGGATGGATGGGTGGATGAGTGGATGGATGGGTGGATGGATGGATGGGTGGATGGATGGATGGATTGATTGATGGATGGATGGGTGGGTGGATGGATGGATGGGTGGATGGATGGGTGGGTGGGTGGATGGGTGGATGGATGGGTGGGTGGATGGGTGGATGGATGGGTGGGTGGGTGGGTGGATGGATGGATGGGTGGATGGGTGGATGGGTGGGTGGATGGATGGGTGGATGGATGGATGGGTGGGTGGATGGATGGATGGGTGGATGGATGGGTGGGTGGATGGGTGGATGGATGGGTGGGTGGGTGGGTGGATGGGTGGGTGGGTGGATGGATGGATGGGTGGATGGGTGGGTGGATGGATGGATGGGTGGATGGATGGATGGATGGGTGGGTGGATGGATGGGTGGATGGATGGATGGGTGGATGGATGGATGGGTGGGTGGGTGGATGGGTGGATGGATGGATGTATGTATGGATGGATGGATGGATGGGTGGATGGATGGATGGGTGGATGGATGGATGGGTGGATGGATGTATGGATGGATGGATGGATGGGTGGGTGGATGGATGGGTGGATGGATGGGTGGGTGGATGGATGGATGGATGGATGGATGGATGGATGGATGGATGGGTGGAGTGTTAATGTGAGAGTGTGGTGAAGGTGATTCTGGGCGGAGACTCGGGCTGCAGAATGAGTGTGTATTTGGTGTTCAAATCTTCTGTGTTTGAAACAGTCAGTCTGAAGTTCCTCAGAATCTACAAACACACATAAACACATTGAATTAGTAGAAAGACTGAAGTAATATTTTCTTGTAAAATGCATAATCTCATATTTAATCTTATACTACAATGATATTATAATCCAATCCAATAATCTTAGTTTAATAAGGTTTTTTAACAGTGTATAATCTAAACATTGTTGTTTTAATATCATATATATATACTACTAAAATTGTATTACTATTTTGAATTAGATTTTACTTTGATATCTTCTGTTTTCACTTTAAGTTTGGTTAAAGTTTCAGTCATTTTGTTGTTTTTGTATAAGTTTTTTTAATGTCTAAAAAGTTTGTATTATTTTTTATTTTCAGTTTATTTAGTTTGAATTATTTTAGTACTTCAAATTAAACTGAATGAAAGTGAGAAATGTTGCTGAAATAAAATAAGCTTAAACGTTCTAATATTTTATTTGAGTTAAGTTAACTTTATTTACTATCAAGTATTTGATTTTTTCTAAGGTTGAATCTACTCTGAAGAGCATGCAGAGGGTCGTCAGTCTGTCAGTTCTGCAGAACCGTGCCTGCTGTGAGTCGATCCTGGTTCCTGTGTGATCAGGTGTTGTTCTCCTGCAGTAACTCACGTGCAGTAACAGCAGCTGCATCTCGTTCTCCGCGATCCTGCGACCCACACACTGTCTGGAGCCGAAGCCGAACGCCAGCGAGCGAAAGCCTCCTCCCGAAGCCGGCTCAGCTCCGGCCCAGCGGCCCGGCTCGAAGCGCTCCGGACCCTCGAACACCTCGTGACTCCGGCCCAGAGGATACAGGCACACCTGCACCAGCGTCTGAAACACCGCTGACATCATGGATTCTGACATTCACATGTGTTTTACTCTCATGTTGTTCCGGCCATTTCCACTATTGGGACCCTTGGTAAATATGTGCAAAATCTGCATTGTTTATCCTTTTGATCTTTCATTCAAAAAATTCACAAAAATCGAACCTTTCATTGAAGTAAAAGAATTGAAAGTGGGGGAAAATCACATTATGAAATAAATGTTTTTCTCCATAATTGCATGTTGGCCATAATTATTGGCACCCCTAGAAATTCCTATGAGTAAAATATCTTTGAAGTATATTCCCATTTATATATAATGTGGGTTTTTTTAGCGCATCAGGGTGACTAAGAACATGAAATTGTATAGCTATGACTTCGTTTCACAGGAGTATAAATATGAAACACAAAGGCCAAATTCCCTTTATCATACAACAGAATATAGTTCTGATGTGCAGCAAAAGATTGTTGAGCTTCACAAAATAGAAAGTGGCTGTAACTGAAAATCCCCATTTCCACGGCAATAATTAAGAAGTTCCAATTCACTGAAGATGTTGTGAATCTGCCGAGAAGAGGACGTGTCTTTATCGTCCGGATGCACGAGTTCGAGTGGCCAAAGCCTCTCCAGGATCACAGATGGAGAGTCGCAGAGATTAGTGAGTCTTGGGCTCAGAAAGCCTAAACCCGACATCAGCACATGTTGTTCAGGAGCGTTTCAAGGAAATCCTCCTCGCTCCTCCAGACACAAACTCCAGCATGTTCAGCTGTCAGACGCGACTGGAACTAAAGAAGAGCTTTTTGGCAGCAAACACACCAGATGGGATATAAAGTTCCCCATATACGGGTAAATACAGCGCTGGACCTCTAATGCTGTGGGGCAATACTCTGCTGGAGGTCCTGGACTTCTTCTCCAGATACATGGCATCATGGATTCTAGCAAATACCAACAGATAAAAAAAAAATCTAATCTCTGCTGGAAAACTTATAATGGGCCGTGGTTGGATCCTCCATCAGGACAACGATCCAAAAACAAACATCAAAATTAACACAAAAATGTGTCACTGAGCAGTCATCGGTTATCTTGGCAAAAGGAGGTTGCAATAATTGTGGCCAACATGCATTGGAGAAAAACATTTATTTCATAATGAGATTTTTTCCACAATTTTATTGTTTTACTTCAATGAAAGGTTAGAATTATTTGAATTTTTTTAATGAAAGATCAAAAGAATAAACAATGCAGATTTATTTTTACAGCCATCGTTGATCATATTTACCAGGGGTGCCAATATTAGTGGAGGGCACTGTAAATGTTATCGCATTGGAGTAAAACTTACTGACTTTGCTCATGAAGGGTATAACAACTTGTTTTCCTTCAGTTAGCGCAGGATTTGTGTTTCTTTCTGGATCGGGTTGATCGTAGGCCTCATGAATCTGAACTCATGCGCCTCAGTGTTAAAGGGTTAGTTCCCCCAAAAATGAAAATTCTGTCAGCGGCTCAACCTTAAGTTTATCAAGCGACGAGAATACTTTTTGTGCGCAAAAAACAAACAAAAATAACGACTTTATTCAACTACTCATTTCCTTCTCTGTGGGCCTTGAGATTTCACGTAGTGATATTGCGCAAAGCTTCTGTGTTGTACGTCACACGTAGGCTCACTATTGGCCGACGCTGGTCATGTGTGTGATGCGTGTGACGTACAACACAGAAGCTTTGCGCTGTTACACTGCGTGAAATCTCAAGGCCCACAGAGAAGGAAATGAGTAGTTGAATAAAGTCGTTATTTTTGTTTGTTTTTTGCGCACAGAAAGTATTCTCGTCGCTTGATAAACTTAAGGTTGAGCCACTGTAGTCACTCGGACTATTTTAACGATGTCTTTCATAACTTTTGGGCCGGCCAGTTTCGATCCCTTCAAGAAGCCTATGGAGGAGTGATCCAGCTCTCAGATTTCATCAAAAATATCTTAAAGCTGCAGTCCGGCATTTTTCCTCTTTGTCGCCATCTCTGTTTGAAATCTGTAATTGCAGTTATTCGTGGAATTATTAACTTTGCGTGAGTTGCACATCGGCATGAAACAGCGCGGATGAACACAATGTTTTGAGACTGCGAGTCTGTCAGTCACCGCGCCGATGTGGAAACTGGCATTCAGAATCACACATTCTACTTTTGGAAGTAGGCCTACAGTATGACCATGACAACATACGAATTTTCATCGGAAAATATCATCTGAACAAGTAAGTAACATCCACATCAACTAAGGGGGGAAAGCCTTGCAGTAAATCGTGCTGATTAAATATAACGATCGCGTCAAACCTTTCAAATTATACTTTGTTCTCAAATTATCAACATCAGCATTGTGACTACATTTAATGTGTATTATGATTACCCTGTAGTTCAGTTTCTATTTCTGTGCAGTCTAATTTCTAATTGTCATACCAATAAATTAATGTTTCTTTACTGGTTTTCTTTGAGAAAAAAGAAAAGAAAAAAAAACACGTATCTGTAATCCGATGCATATTTAAAACTATATATAATTTCGGAGGAGGCCGGTTTGGTTTGCTTGGAGTAGAGGTGAATTGCTCCCTCTCATAGCTAGCACAAAATATTTACCATAATAGCTAAACGAATAAAGACAGGAAACTCCGTAACTGTGTGAATTAAGCGAACAAGTGTGCTACTGTTACACGATTGAACTATTGAAAATGTCTTACCTGTCCTAAAAGAAAAAAAGCCGCCTCTGCGTCCGTTTTGAACCGATGTTTATCCTTGTTTTCGCGTGGGCCAGTTGCAGTCTCTTTTTTCTCTAACGTTACCCACTCCGAAGTCCGAATTATTTGGGGTTTTACAAGTGGTGAATGTCCAGTTGTCACTGGTGATTGTCGTTTGAACCTTTCTGGATCCGCCATAAGTTTAATTATTTAATGCTGTGAGAAAAGGCTAAAAATGTCCACCTCCAACATCCTCACGCAATATAGCCGACTAGCCGGGACGCCTTCTTTATGTGTACAGATGTGACGTAATGACGCAAAGACATGCTCAAATTTCCCGTGGAAATCCACCAGTACCACTGGAATTAAAATCATTATTACAAGCTAACCGTTTTGAATCAGGCAAAAGCAAGCAGATATTTTTGAACACTGGCTGGTTATGTTTTTTTTAATTATTATTTTGGATAATTTTTAACCCAAAAAAGTTACGGACAGCAGCTTTAATTTGTGTTCCGAAGATGAAGGAAAGTCTGACGGGGTTGAACAACATGAGGGAGAGTAATTACTGACAGAGTTTACATTTTTGGGTGAACTAACCCTTTAAAAAAACCCACTAAGCTTAGATCAATGAGGCCAAAAAGAAACACAAAACCTGTGCTAACGGAAGGAAAACAAGTTGATAAAAAGACGGAATCCAATATTTTTGGAATTACTGGAGGTTTACAAGAAATTTAAAACACTGGGAAACACCAGTTTTGCTTAAGGATTTTCAACAGCACAAAGGTTAATAAAGTGAAAATGTTGGCATTTTCCTGATTCAGTCAGATGTGTGTGTTTGTGTGTTTGTCTCACCCCTGCCGGCACATGGTAGTTCTGGAGGACAATGTCTCGAACCGGATACCTCTGGACGGTGATTCCCACCGGATACAGCCTGAAACACACAAACACACTCTCAGCGTCTGAAATCATATGGCCACTGATCAGATGAGAACAGAACTCGATCTGAGTAATGACTCTCTCTTCTTCTGTAGAGCTGCTTCACTCCTGACTCTAAGTTTGTCTCATATTTGATGAAGTTTCATCATTGATTCTGATATTTTCCTGTTTATTACTGTGAAGCTGCTGTGAAATTATTAAGCTTACTTGTCTTTCTGATGATATTTCTTGATGATCCAGCCTCTCTCTCACCTCAGTGTCTCCTTCACGGTTCCTTTCAGCAGTGGCGCCCCCTGCAGGGCCTTCTGGGGGTTTCCTGATGCCTGTTGCCATGACGACAGCACTTGCGCTCGCACACGCTCCTGCACATCAGGGTTGCGCGCCAACTCGAAGAGAGCAAACTGCAGCGGGACGGCGGTCTGAGTGATTGAATGTTCATAAAACACATTAATTCCCCCATATTCTCCATTGTTGCAGCTCCTCTCTTCCCAGTCTGTCAGTAACGCTCTGTTTAGTTCCTGTCTCTATGAAGCCCCTCCTTCTGAAAAGCACACTGTGCTCTGATTGGTTGGCTGGAGCAGTGTGTTGTGATTGGTCGAGCGCTTCGAGCGTGTTTTGGAAATGTCCGACCGCCAGTTTCCTCAACCAGGCCCCGCCCCTTTATTCTGCGTATTAATTATTTAAATGAGGAATATTGTGACGATATAAATGACAATGTTGATATGTTTGGTCTTGGCGGTATATATCTGCTACGCTGCTGCTGATGTTGGTTATTGCTGCTGCTGTTATTGCTGCTGTTGGGTAGTACGGGACTTGCTACTGCCAATACATACAAAACACGCTATTTGTGAGCAAGTAAGACACACTGCTGCTGCACAATATATTATACATGATCTACGGGTGGAGCTGGGGAAGGAGAAGGGTTTCTGAAAGAGTGCTGCAACTGCTACAGCAAATGCTGACCAGTATTAGAAGGTTGAGCAGCGAGCTCATTGGCTACTGATACAGCAGGAACCAATCAGCTGTGCCCTATAGAGAATAATGTGTTTGCAAGCAGATTGAGTTATCTATCAGAGGACCTATCAGCCTGCGCCATCTAGAGTTTCATGACCAAACTGAACTATGACGCTTTTGTATGAACTATCGCTATTAGTTGTTGTCAGTTTGTTGGTCGGTGCATGTGAGTTTGTACCGTATCGACTCCGCCGGCCATCAGTTCGGTGATGTTGGCTCTGATCAGCTCTAATGATAACTGCCCCGCGTCTATCAGCTGCCCCAGCACGCCCTGGAAACGCCCCTCAGAGCCTCCGGACGCACCCGTCTGCAGACGCTGATACCCCCGCTGGATGCGCGCCTCCGCTGCAAACACACATACACACACACACACACACACACACACATAAACACATGCACACAACCAGTGTTGGGGGTAACTCATTACAAGTCACTTGAGTTACGGAATCAGATTACTTTTTCAAGTAACTAGTAAAGTAACGCATTACTTTTTCATTTTACAACAAAAATCTAAGTTACTTTTTCAAATTTATTGACTGACAGCTCTCCTGTCCCCATGTTGAGAGAAATAAAGTGAGGAGGTGTGTCAAGTCAAGTCAAGTCATCTTCATTTATATAGCGCTTTTAACAATGGATTGTTTCAAAGCAGTTTTACAGAGATAAACATATAATTGGTAACAGATTGTTTGGCGTTATAGCGGTTCTTGAATAATGTTACTTCCAGCCAGAGGTGGGAGTAAGTCACACATGTGCAAGTCACAAGCAAGTCTCAAGTCTTAACCTTCAAGTCTCAAGCAAGTCCAAGTCAATTTTTTATAAAAGCAAGCAAGTCAAGTCAAGTCACTGCCTTATGTCAAGCAAGTCAAGTCAAGTCGTAGCTTGGGTCACAAGTCACTGGCAAGTCATACAAACGTTTGTTTGATTACACTGAATTTATATATTAAAATAAGTTAAAACTACATAAGTTGTGGACTATGGTTTTATTTGCAACATATTTTTTTTAAATATGCAATTCCACATACAGCTAAGTGGTTACTACAATAAAAATCTAAAAAATAAAAAATAAATACAATTTCAAACTACATAGCCTAAAATGTAAATGTAACTGAAATTAGGCCAACATTAAAGCATGAAAAAATAAATATGCCTCAAACATTGCAGAAGACCATTAAAAGGTATTAAACAATTCACAATTCAAGTAGAATGGTTCCTATGCCACCAAATGGCATTCTTCAAACTGGCATCCCCTTTATATAAGTTATATAACAGCCGTTGGCATTTAGCCTATTATGAAGTTAAAACCGCCAATAGGTGGCGCCAAATCACCGTCTTAATGTACGAGTCATAGAAGCAGTCAACTGATTTGTTCAAAATGGCAGATTTGTTCTGGAACTAAGCAACTAGGTCACTGAATCACAAATACGCATAACTCTTTCTGTGGCTTGTTTGGAACTATTGTCATTGGAGAAATAGAACAAAAACAGAAAATATTTGGAATATTATGTCTAAAATGTCACATCACAATATTCACTCTTTGTTTACTGAACTGTTTTATAAAATCATCACATTTGCAATCGCGCCAATAATCTGGAAATATTTTTTTATATATGTTATAATTATGAAAATAACTCATACTAGGGCCATTTTTCCACCAAATTTTGAATTTTGGGTGCATATTAATTCTGCTGGCATTTTTTGCCACCAACCCCCTGATAACATTACGAGAAACATAAACGACAAAACTAACAGTTTTCTATATTGTTTTTTCGTCATTGGAAAGAACAACATTTTTGGCTTTAAAGCATGATTTAAAAAGAAATGTGGCAAATGTTATACAAAACATACCATCATTAATTATCATTTGAATATTGACAACATTAAGCTACATTTGAAAACATAATTGTGTATAAAGAGGCATGCTGTTTTGACCAATATTATTCTCTCTAGATTTAAAGATAGTCAAATTAACTATAACAAACAGGTTAAACAAGCCATAGCTTACTTTTAGACGTGGTGAATGAAGTTCGACTGTTCGAGGTTGTGATGGTCGTCCGATATCCCTTGCCAGTTATTATGCGTACAACAAATCTTCTTGCATGAATATGGTCATTTTCTAGTGTTTATATCCAAAAAGATACGATGCTGGGAGATGTTTTTGTATTTAGCGCGCTTACGCGATGTAGGCTATTTCTGGGCTTGTGCAGCGTCACGCAATCGCGCAGAATCTGATGACTGACGTCAATGGTTCCGTTGCTTTCATTTTGTTTATCAATGGATGTTGCGATGATTTATATAAAAATGTATATCAAGTCATTCTCGAGTCATACAGTTCAAGTCAAGTCAAGTCTCAAGTCATTGGATCTCAAGTCAAAGTCAAGTCGAGTCATTTTCTTAATTTAGTCAAGCAAGTCTCAAGTCCTTAAATTTGCGACTCGAGTCTGACTCGAGTCAAGTCATGTGACTCGAGTCCCCCATCTCTGCTTCCAGCTAAAGTTAACTTTGATTGATTCACCTCCGTCGAAATGATCAGACTTTAAACGCGAACCTGTGATTAACGCTGACGGCGTTCACATGCTCATTCAGAATTCTATAGTTATGTGCTTTTTAAAATATGTGCGCAGGTTTGTAATTCATACAACCCAGCCTAAACAAACTACTTTTCTTGCCTATAAATTAAACTTGCCTATAAAGGTGTGTGTGCGCGCGCTGTGTAAACATTATGGTTATTTTAGTTCTAGACTAAATGTGAACATGCATTTACTCGTCTCACTTGCACGAAAACATTCAGTATTCCTCAAAATGAATAAAAACTGTAAAATTCAATCTCATAATGAACTATATTAATTAACAAAAAACCATCGTACACCTGCAGATAATAGGTGCGTAGGAAAAAACGACCAAAAAAGATCGGTCGACAATCTGCAAACGAGGAACTCCCGCACACTGTCAGAACTTGCATTTTTTTTATTAGCAACGTTTCAGTCTCACGACCTTCATCAGGCATACACAAATCTTCAAACTCATCACATTTAAATGTACTCAACCTCTACTGTACTGTACTCTACTGTACTCTACCTCTACTGTACTCTACCTCTACTGTACTGTACTCTACTGTACTCTACTGTACTCTACCTCTACTGTACTCTACCTCTACTGTACACTCTACTGTACTGTACTCTACTGTACTGTACTGTACTCTACCTCTACTGTACTCTACTGTACTCTACCTCTACTGTACTGTACTCTACCTCTACTGTACTGTACTCTACTGTACATACCTCTACTGTACTGTACTCTACCTCTACTGTACTGTACTCTACTGTACTCTACTGTACTCTACCTCTACTGTACTCTACCTCTACTGTACACTCTACTGTACTGCACTCTACCTCTACTGTACTGTACTCTACCTCTACTGTACTCTACTGTACTCTACCTCTACTGTACTGTACTCTACCTCTACTGTACTGTACTCTACTGTACATACCTCTACTGTACTCTACTGTACTCTACTGTACTGTACTCTACTGTACATACCTCTACTGTACTCTACCTCTACTACTGTACTCTACCTCTACTGTACTGTACTCTACTGTACATACCTCTACTGTACATACCTCTACTGTACTGTACTCTACTACTGTACTCTACCTCTACTGTACTGTACTCTACTGTACATACCTCTACTGTACTCTACCTCTACTGTACTCTACTGTACTCTACCTCTACTGTACTGTACTCTACCTCTACTGTACTGTACTGTACTCTACCTCTACTGTACTCTACTGTACATACCTCTACTGTACTCTACTCTACTGTACTGTACTCTACTGTACATACCTCTACTGTACTCTACCTCTACTACTGTACTCTACCTCTACTGTACTCTACCTCTACTGTACTGTACTCTACTGTACATACCTCTACTGTACTCTACCTCTACTACTGTACTCTACCTCTACTGTACTGTACTCTACTGTACATACCTCTACTGTACTCTACCTCTACTACTGTACTCTACCTCTACTACTGTACTCTACCTCTACTGTACTCTACCTGTACTCTACCCCTACTGTACTCTACCTCTACTGTACTCTACTGTACTCTACCTCTACTGTACTCTACCTCTACTGTACTCTACCTCTACTGTACTCTACTGTACTCTACCTCTACTGTACTCTACTGTACTCTACCTCTACTGTACTCTACCTCTACTGTACTGTACTCTACTGTACTCTACCTCTACTGTACTCTACTGTACTCTACCTCTACTGTACTCTACTGTACTCTACTGTACTCTACCTCTACTGTACTCTACCTCGACTCGACTCTACTGGCATAAATATGCATTTTTTTCAGCCTGAGGATTATTCATTTCACTTTTGGTGTGAAAGGGCCTTTACATTTGCCACAAATATAACTATTTTGTTGTTATTAAAAACAAACAAGCAAGCCTAGCCCAGGTGAGAAAAAGTAATGGAATTAGTAACTTTTTTGGGAGTAATGCAATATTCTAATTGCATAACTTGTAAAAGTAACTTTCCCCAACACAGCACACAACAGACCACATGCTGTGTGAGCGAGGGACGCACCGTGAGAGAAGATGTGGTCCCATGCAGTGGCGTGTTGCGTCCACAGGGGGGCGCGCAGGTGCAGCAGCAGGCGGGGGGGCAGGTACAGCAGCGGCGGAGTCGTAGCCAGCATTCGCTCCACGGCCCAGATGAAGCGCTCAGACTCTTCAGACGGAGAGGACGAGAACAGACCCATGCGCTCGCCGTACAGAACATGGCAGCTCGCTGGAGACAGACATGATCTTACTGTGAACAATAGTTTTTTTCACCTGGTAATTTTTAATCAGAATGTCAGAACTTGACTTGTCTCTATATGACTTGGTTTTCTCCAATCAATCATTTAGCCTACTTAAACCCCGCCCCTTTTCCTACGATCCACTGCAAGCTCATATTCAGATCCGCCTCCACGTTTGAGAGCCACGACCCACATCTCAATATCCAAACAACAATAAGCGTTCTCACCAAAATACTTTTTCTTTTTCAACAAATCTGACATTTACATTTTTTCATTTAGCATGCGACTTACAAATGAGGAATATAAGCGATTCAGCCTAAAGTCAAAATGAAAGATTTTGAGATTCGGAGATTCTTTGATAATAAATGAAAATAAAGCACATTATATTAAAACAATTTATTCAAGATTTGCGTTTAAACTCAACAGGAACGCTGACCTTCCAAGGCAAAGCGGAAGAGGTCAGGACTGGGGTCAAGAGTCATCCTGCGCTGACCCGTCTCCCCCGCCCCCCCCACCTCCACCCGCCGGCGCAGGGATCGGCAGAAATCCTGAGCCACGTCGTCCAGCAGAGGAAGAAACCGGCGAACAGCAGAGGAGAGCATCACCTCCTTATTCAACAGCAGCCTGTCTGACCGCCACTCCGTCCCGTTCCTACACACACACTTACTTTAGTGCCTCACTCACTCACTCACTCACTCACTCACACTCTCTCACTCACTCACTCACTCACTCACTCACTCACTCACTCACTCACTCACTCACTCACTCACTCACTCACTCACTCACTCACTCACTCACTCACTCACTCACTCACTCACTCACTCACACTCTCACACTCTCACACTCACTCACTCACACACACACTCACACACACACTCACTCACTCACTCACTCACTCACTCACTCACTCACTCACTCACTCACACACTCACACTCACTCACTCAATCACACACTCACTCACTTACTCTCTCACACTCTCTCACACTCACTCACTCACTCACTCACTCACTCACTCACTCACTCACTCACTCACTCACTCACTCACTCACACACACTCACTCACACACACTCACTCACTCACTCACTCACTCACTCACTCACTCACACACTCACTCACTCACTCACTCACTCACTCACTCACTCACTCACTCACTCACTCACTCACTCACTCACTCACTCTCTCACACTCTCTCACACTCACTCACACTCACACTCACACACACACTCACACACACACTCACTCACTCACACACTCACACTCACACACTCACACACTCACACACTCACACAATCACTCTCTCACTCACACACTCACTCTCTCACACTCTCACACACTGACTCACTCACTCACTCACTCACACACTCACACACTCACTCTCTCACTCACACACTCACACTCTCACACTCTCACACTCTCTCTCACTCTCTCACTCACTCACACACTCACTCACACACTCACACACTCACACACTCACTCTCTCACTCTCTCACTCACTCACACACTCACTCACTCACTCACTCACTCACTCACTCACTCACTCACTCACTCACTCACTCACTCACTCACTCACTCACTCACTCACTCACTCACTCACTCACTCACTCACTCACTCACTCACTCACACTCACTTGAGAAAGACGCCCTTGCTGTGTCTGCGAGTCTCCCGGTGTGTGGCCCAGGGCTGCAGGGTCATGCGTCTCGGGTGGAGGCCCTCGGAGCGGAAGAGCTCGCCGGTGTCCGTCGGCAGCATGATGTTCACACTGCTCTGAGAGCCCAGATACTCCCTGAGAGAGTGTGTGTGTGTGTGAGAGAGGGAGAGAGAGATCGTCAGCCTGGACTCACTGGGCCGGCCGATGGTTCTGGCTTCCAATGATTATAACCCGTCAACCACCTGATTAGTAGATCCCTCATCACGGGTTTCGTTCCGCCAGCTGCGGTCCCCTCGGTACTCAAAAACCCTGGCCTTGACGACACAATCTATTCTACAGCGACTTTAGATCCACTTCCAACCTTCCCTTCTCGTCAAAGTTCCTAGAAGAGGTGATCGCCTCACTACAATCCCATTTGGAGAAATATAAGCTGGTTCTGTCCTCTCCACAGTGCAGAGACTGCTTTTCTAGAGTAGCGGATGGTCTCCTGCTGTCCATAAACCATAAGCAAAAATGACTATAGATTTATTTATTTTTATTGGTAAAGTAAGTGTTAAACTTTTTTCTCCTGTATATTCTTTATTATCCAGAACAGCAGCTGAAAGGTAACTCGAGTCCTACTCTACCTCGACTCGACTCTAACTCGACTCTAACTCGACTCTAACTCGACTACTCTACTCTACATTGACCTCGACTACTCTACTCTACCTCTACTCTAACTCGACTCTAGCTTGACTCTAGCTCGACTCTAGCTCGACTCTAGCTCGACTCTAGCTCGACTCTAGCTCGACTCTAGCTCGACTCTAGCTCGACTCTAGCTCGACTCTACCTCGACTCTAGCTCGACTCTAGCTCGACTCTAGCTCGACTCCTACTCTACCTCGACTCCTACTCTACCTCGACTCCTACTCTACCTCGACTCCTACTCTACCTCGACTCCTACTCTACCTCGACTCCTACTCTACCTCGACTCCTACTCTACCTCGACTCCTACTCTACCTCGACTCCTACTCTACCTCGACTCCTACTCTACCTCGACTCCTACTCTACCTCGACTCCTACTCTACCTCGACTCCTACTCTACCTCGACTCCTACTCTACCTCGACTCCTACTCTACCTCGACTCCTACTCTACCTCGACTCCTACTCTACCTCGACTCCTACTCTACCTCGACTCCTACTCTACCTCGACTCCTACTCTACCTCGACTCCTACTCTACCTCGACTCCTACTCTACCTCGACTCCTACTCTACCTCGACTCCTACTCTACCTCGACTCCTACTCTACCTCGACTTCTACTCTAACTCGACTCCTACTCTACCTCGACTCCTACTCTACCTCGACTCCTACTCTACCTCGACTCCTACTCTACCTCGACTCTACCTCGACTCCTACTCTACCTCGACTCCTACTCTACCTCGACTCCTACTCTACCTCGACTCCTACTCTACCTCGACTCCTACTCTACCTCGACTCCTACTCTAACTCGACTCCTACTCTAACTCGACTCTAACTCGACTCCTACTCTACCTCGACTCCTACTCTACCTCGACTCCTACTCTACCTCGACTCCTACTCTAACTCGACTCCTACTCTAACTCGACTCTACCTCGACTCCTACTCTACCTCGACTCTAACTCGACTCGACTCCTACTCTACCTCGACTCTACCTCGACTCGACTCCTACTCTACCTCGACTCTACCTCGACTCTAACTCGACCCTACTACGACTCGACTCGACTCTAACTCGACTCTAACTCGACCCTACTCTACCTCGACTCTACCTCGACTCTAACTCGACTCGACTCCTACTCTACCTCGACTCTACCTCGACTCGACTCCTACTCTACCTCGACTCTAACTTGACTCGACTCCTACTCTACCTCGACTCTAACTCGACCCTACTACGTCTCGACTCGACTCTAACTCGACTCTAACTCGACCCTACTCTACCTTGACTTGACCTCTACTCTACATCTACCTCGACTACTCTACCTCTACTCTAACTCGACTCTACCTCGACTACTCTACTCTACCTCGACTACTCTACTCTACCTCGACTACTCTAACTCGACCTCGACTCTACTCTAACTCGACCTCGACTACTCTACTCTACTCTAACTCGACTCTAACTCGACTCTACTACGACTCTAACTCGACTCTAACTCGACTCTAACTCGACTCTAACTCGACTCTAACTCGACTCTAACTCGACTCTAACTCGACTCTAACTCGACTCTGATTGTATTTGTAACTGTCAATATTATGTAAAGTGTCCTTGGGTTCTCCAAAGGCGCTATATAAATAAAACGTATTATTATTATATACATTGATTTTTTTTAAGCACAAACTCACTTCATTCTAATAAAATTTTCATTAAACAAGAAACAGGTTAACACGCTTAATATCTTCAGTAATTTTGCTTCTCCAGTAACTGTATCTTGATTTATGAATGTTTGGATATGAGTGCTGGAAGCTCATGTTAGCAGTGGAGAGTCTCAGACATCTTTATGAAGGTTATCTGGCTCACACGTTAGATTAACTCTCCAACTCTCACTATTAACTACAACTTTTACCTCAGTAAACTCCTAATTATTGCTGATTAATAGTTAGTAAGATGTTAAGTTTAGGTATTGGGTAGGATTGAGGGATGTAGAATATGATCATGCTGAATAAGGCATTAATATGTGCTTTATAAGTACTAATAAACAGCCAATATCCTAGTAATATACATGATAATAAGCAACTAGTTAATAGTGAGAATTGAACCCAAAACTAAAGTTTTACCAAAATCTTAAAACAACTAGTCTAATATTACACAATAATCTTACATGTTATAATAATAATTCAGAAATGTTTGTGCAAAGGTTTAAGTGATTGGAAATATTAACATCATATAAAATTATAAAAGTCCGGAAAAACAAAAACAAACATTCCAACTTTTGAGTTCGAAACCTAGAAATAAATAGTTTTAGGATTTAACAACATTTAAAAGTTGGTAACACTTTACAATAAGGTTTCATAAGGTTAAATGAAAAATATTTCTTCAGCATTTACTAATACATGATTAAAATCAAAATATCGTTAGTTAATGAAGCCGAACTAACATGAACAGTTGATGTAAACAAAGATTCATCAGTGCTGCAACAAAAGTATTGCTCATTGTTACTTATTGTAAAGTGTGAATATTTGTTTAGATCAAAAGTTGCATCTGTTAACATTAGTAGATGGACTGAATTAACATGATCATTTTTATTAACACATTAATGATTAATAAATGCTGTGAAAACGTATTGCTCATTGTTAGTTGATGCTTTCACTAATGAGCCCTTACTGTAAAGTGATGATTGAAGAAGATCATCATCTGTCCCTCACACACTCTAACACATCTGTCCCTCACACACTCTAACACATCTGTCCCTCACACACTCTAACACATCTGTCCCTCACATACTCTAACACATCTGTCCCTCACACACTCTAACACATCTGTCCCTCACACACTCTAACACATCTGTCCCTCACACACTCTAACACATCTGTCCCCTCACACACTCATCTGTCCCTCACACACTCTAACACATCTGTCCCTCACACACTCTAACACATCTGTCCCTCACACACTCTAACACATCTGTCCCTCACACACTCTAACACATCTGTCCCTCACACACTCTAACACATCTGTCCCTCGCGGGTGAAAAAGACCCAAAGCCCTAAAATTATACAGCATATTTTTTGTCGTCCATAAAGCTCATTTTATATCATTTAGATAATATTTTTTCTATTTTTTAAATCAATTTTTTTGGGGAGATTTTTTATTTTATTTACTTTTAAGTTACTAGATTTAATCAATAAATAAATAGTAATTTCAGCACATTCCTTACATTCTTTCAACTTAAATTCAAAATAACTCACAATTTCATGCCTAAATCTTTTAATTCAGCTCAAACTGTCTTACATTGAGTGTCTGTCGACCTCTTGCTGAAAAAATAATAATATAACATGATATTTCATGATTCTAGATGGCCTTATAGCTCTATATGGAGCATGTGTGATGCAGTACCTGTAAATGTGTGTGTGTGTGTAATGCTGCACCTGTGTGTGAGTGTGTGCTGCACTTGTAAATGTGTGTGTGATGCTGTTCCTGTATGTGTGTGCTGTACCTGTAAATGTGTGTGTGATGCTGTTCCTGTATGTGTGTGTGTGTGTGTGCTGTGCTGTACCTGTAAATGTGTGTGTGTGCTGTACCTGTAAATGTGTGTGTGTGCTGCACCTGTATGTGTGAGCTGTACCTGTGTGTGTGTGTGTGTGTGTGTGTGTGTGTGTGTGCTGTACCTGTAAATGTGTGTGTGATGCTGTCCTGTATGTGTGTGTGTGTGTGTGTGCTGTGCTGTACCTGTAAATGTGTGTGTGTGCTGTACCTGTAAATGTGTGTGTGTGCTGCACCTGTATGTGTGAGCTGTACCTGTGTGTGTGTGTGTGTGTGTGTGTGTGTGTGCTGTACCTGTATGTGTGAGCTGTACCTGTGTGTGTGTGTGTGTGTGTGTGCTGTACCTGTAAATGGGCCCGAGGCGTCTGAAGCTGTCCTCCATGTGCTTGTGAAGGAGGCTGAATCGTCCCTCTCTCCAGAAGCGCATCAGGTTTATCCATCCGTTGCTCCCGGTGTGAGGAATCTCCCAGAAGTCCCGCACGCCCCGCATGCTGATCTCTCTCTCTCTCTCTGCTGGAGCACACTGCACTCCTCATCCCTTTAACACACACTTCAGAGTGTGTGTGTCCTCGACACCACTCATGAGTTACTGCCACATCAGGTCAGAGTTCAAGAGAAGAACAACATCAGCGGCCGAGCTCAGAGACGAGACACACGGCTGGGGTCCATATTCCATAACCAGGAGAACCATCACGACCAACAGGACATGGGCTTTTCTATTTTATGTGTATCTGCAACATTACCATAAATGTCAGATGTTAGATATTAATGATCCAGAAGCACGAACGAGACGCTCGAACACAATCATCTGGAAACCTGTGGCTTGGAAACACATCATGCTTTTGGAAATCATAATTATGACATAGAAAGTTGACTATCACTCTATCACATAGTAATTATGACATACTAAGTCATAACTATGACAGAAAGTCATAATTTAAACTTTTGAATCTCATAATTATGACCCTTTAGCTAATATTAGTCATAATTATGACTGTCATAATTCACACAAGTCAAAATGTCATTTTTTTTTGTCATTGACAATTTTTACTTTTTTTATGCCATGATTTTGATCATTGATCACTTTTTATGTCTTATTTAAGATATTATTATGACAAAGTAATAATTTAAGCTTTTGAAACTCATAAATATGACTTTTTAGTGACTGTCACATCAGGTCAGAGTTCAAGAGAAGAGCATCCCCAGCGGCCGAGCTCAGAGACGAGACGCTAATATCGTTCCATAAGCAGGAGAACAGCACCAGCCTGAAAGCACACATGACATCTGCATATTTTATTTCATGTTTACTCGTATGCAATATTACTGGCGTCAGATGTTTATGATGCAGAATACACGAGACGCTCGAACACAACCATCTGGAAACCTGTGGCTTGGAAGCACATCGTGCTTTTGGAAATCATAATTATGACATAAAAAGTTAGTCATTGTGACATACTAAGTCAAAATTATGACAAAGTAATCATTTAAACTTTTGAATCTCATAATTATGACTTTTTATCTCATAGGACAGTCAAAATTATGACTTAAGTATGTCAATGTACATTTTTTGTCATAACTCTTAAGGGACAATTTTGACTTTTGTATGCCATGATTTTGACTTTAACGGTTTAAATCAAACGGGTCTGGAGAAAATCTGTAAAGAATAAACATTACTACGATTAAAATATGTCAATAAATAAATTAGATTAAAAATAAATGTATAAAAAAATGTAGATAAAATATAACAAAAAAGTATTTGATAACAGATTCAATGAGATAATGTACAAAAATTTATTAAAATGAGATTAAAGTCAAATCAATCAATTACACAAACAATACATTACTTCAGTAGAATATAGAATATTGAAACTTAAAAGAAAATCATTCTAGATTTTTAAATGTTTATAAAAGATAGAATTGTTTTAAGTTTAGAAGGTACATAGTGTGTGTGTGTGTGTGTTTCTGAGAGTCACATGACTCTGCACGGCTCTGCTTGGGCCGGTGTGTGTGTGTGTGTTCTGGTGTGTGTGTGTGTGTGTGTGTGTTCTGGCGTGTGTGTGTTCCTGAGAGTCACATAACTCTGCACGGCTCTGCTTGGGCCGGTGTGTGTGTGTGTGTTCTGGTGTGTGTGTGTGTGTGTGTGTGTTCTGGCGTGTGTGTGTTCCTGAGAGTCACATAACTCTGCACGGCTCTGCTTGGGCCGGTGTGTGTGTGTGTGTTCTGGTGTGTGTGTGTGTGTGTGTGTGTTCTGGCGTGTGTGTGTTCCTGAGAGTCACATAACTCTGCACGGCTCTGCTTGGGCCGGTGTGTGTGTGTGTGTTCTGGTGTGTGTGTGTGTGTGTGTGTGTTCTGGCGTGTGTGTGTTCCTGAGAGTCACATGACTCTGCACGGCTCTGCTTGGGCCGGTGTGTGTGTGTGTGTTCTGGTGTGTGTGTGTGTGTGTGTGTGTTCTGGCGTGTGTGTGTTCCTGAGAGTCACATAACTCTGCACGGCTCTGCTTGGGCCGGTGTGTGTGTGTGTGTGTTTCTGAGAGTCACATGACTCTGCACGGCTCTGCTTGGGCCGGTGTGTGTGTGTGTGTTCTGGTGTGTGTGTGTGTGTGTGTGTGTTCTGGCGTGTGTGTGTTCCTGAGAGTCACATGACTCTGGACGGCTCTGCTTGGGCCGGTGTGTGTGTGTGTGTTTCTGAGTCACATGACTCTGCACGGCTCTGCTTGGGCCGGTGTGTGTGTGTTCCTGAGAGTCACATGACTCTGCACGGCTCTGCTTGGGCCGGTGTGTGTGTGTTTCTGAGTCACATGACTCTGCACGGCTCTGCTTGGGCCGGTGTGTGTGTGTGTGTTCTGGTGTGTGTGTGTGTGTGTGTGTGTTCTGGCGTGTGTGTGTTCCTGAGAGTCACATGACTCTGGACGGCTCTGCATGGGCCGGTGTGTGTGTGTGTTCCTGAGAGTCACATGACTCTGCACGGCTCTGCTTGGGCCGGTGTGTGTGTGTTCCTGAGAGTCACATGACTCTGCACGGCTCTGCTTGGGCCGGTGTGTGTGTTCTGGTGTGTGTGTGTGTGTGTTCCTGAGAGTCACATGACTCTGCACGACTCTGCTTGGGCCGGTGTGTGTGTGTTCCTGAGAGTCACATGACTCTGCACGGCTCTGCATGGGCGTGTGTGTGTGTGTGTTCCTGAGAGTCACATGACTCTGCACGGCTCTGCATGGGCCGGTGTGTGTGTGTTCCTGAGAGTCACATGACTCTGCACGGCTCTGCATGGGCGTGTGTGTGTGTGTGTTCCTGAGAGTCACATGACTCTGCACGGCTCTGCTTGGGCCGGTGTGTGTGTTCTGGTGTGTGTGTGTGTGTGTTCCTGAGAGTCACATGACTCTGCACGGCTCTGCATGGGCCGGTGTGTGTGTGTTCCTGAGAGTCACATGACTCTGCACGGCTCTGCATGGGCCGGTGTGTGTGTGTTCCTGAGAGTCACATGACTCTGCACGGCTCTGCATGGGCCGGTGTGTGTGTGTTCCTGAGAGTCACATGACTCTGCACGGCTCTGCATGGGCCGGTGTGTGTGTGTTCCTGAGAGTCACATGACTCTGCACGGCTCTGCATGGGCCGGTGTGTGTGTGTTCCTGAGAGTCACATGACTCTGCACGGCTCTGCATGGGCGTGTGTGTGTGTGTGTTCCTGAGAGTCACATGACTCTGCACGGCTCTGCATGGGCCGGTGTGTGTGTGTTCCTGAGAGTCACATGACTCTGCACGGCTCTGCATGGGCGTGTGTGTGTGTGTGTTCCTGAGAGTCACATGACTCTGCACGGCTCTGCATGGGCCGGTGTGTGTGTGTTCCTGAGTCACATGACTCTGCACGGCTCTGCATGGGCCGGTGTGTGTGTGTTCCTGAGAGTCACATGACTCTGCACGGCTCTGCATGGGCCGGTGTGTGTGTGTTCCTGAGAGTCACATGACTCTGCACGGCTCTGCATGGGCCGGTGTGTGTGTGTTCCTGAGAGTCACATGACTCTGCACGGCTCTGCATGGGCCGGTGTGTGTGTGTTCCTGAGTCACATGACTCTGCACGGCTCTGCATGGGCCGGTGTGTGTGTGTTCCTGAGAGTCACATGACTCTGCACGGCTCTGCATGGGCGTGTGTGTGTGTGTGTTCCTGAGAGTCACATGACTCTGCACGGCTCTGCATGGGCCGGTGTGTGTGTGTTCCTGAGAGTCACATGACTCTGCACGGCTCTGCATGGGCCGGTGTGTGTGTGTTCCTGAGAGTCACATGACTCTGCACGGCTCTGCATGGGCGTGTGTGTGTGTGTGTTCCTGAGAGTCACATGACTCTGCACGGCTCTGCATGGGCCGGTGTGTGTGTGTTCCTGAGAGTCACATGACTCTGCACGGCTCTGCATGGGCGTGTGTGTGTGTGTGTTCCTGAGAGTCACATGACTCTGCACGGCTCTGCATGGGCCGGTGTGTGTGTGTTCCTGAGTCACATGACTCTGCACGGCTCTGCATGGGCCGGTGTGTGTGTGTTCCTGAGAGTCACATGACTCTGCACGGCTCTGCATGGGCGTGTGTGTGTGTGTGTTCCTGAGAGTCACATGACTGCACGGCTCTGCTTGGGCCGGTGTGTGTGTGTTCCTGAGAGTCACATGACTCTGCACGGCTCTGCATGGGCGTGTGTGTGTGTGTGTTCCTGAGAGTCACATGACTCTGCACGGCTCTGCATGGGCCGGTGTGTGTGTGTGTGTGCTGGAGCGCAGGCGTTGGAAGGCTCTGATCACACTGAAGCTGTCGTCTCCATCATCAGTGTCGGGGCGAACCATCTTGGCCAGATCCCGGGGGAGACACACTTTCCCCCCCGCCACACGCACACGCTCCCGGTCCTCGGCATTCTGGGAAGTGTAGAAGAGAACAGACGAATGAGCCGCAGGACACTGGTGAACATCACAGTAAAATATAGATTTCTTGATTTTAATTGATTCTCATTTTGATCTTAAATCCCAAGAGCGATCATCTCTTCCTCTTTACTACTAGTTACAGCAGCAAATAAACATCAGTGAACATCAGAAGGAATGTTGAAAGATTCAGAACAACTTTTAAACAAAATTTACACACATGTGAAAAACTATGAATAAACTTAATGTTAACTCAAACACATTTAAGTCGTTAAAGTCATTATAATTAGATCCATTTAGTAAAAAACTGACACATTTAACTTCCCGAGTTTCCCTCCAGTGTTTATCAGCATTTGTGATGTCATAACTTATACACTGAGAGCCAATCAGAATCCATCCTGCTTAAGAGCTCGAGTTTAAAGCGACTGCATTATAATAACAGAACATTATCGCCGCTGGTATAAACGCTGATATAGTTGTTACCAGTTCTCGTCGTGTTGTGAAAGAGCCCTGTACACGTGTGTGTGTGTGTGTGTGTGTTGACCTTGGTCAGCTGGTATTTGCTCCTGAAATGGAGCCTCATCGCAGCTCTCTCGGCGTTCCTCTGAGCGCTCATCGCCTCGCGGCGCTTCCTGTAGATCGGGCGAGAGAACGCAGCCGTTACAGCATCGACACACTCGACCGTCTTGACCTCAACTCTTAAAGTCCCCCGTGTTGAAAATCCAGCTTTTAATGTTGTTTATGTCTATGTGGTGTTTTCAAGTTGCTTAAGACAAAGATTATCTGACCTGATGTCTTCACATGTGGACGGACAATTTTACATTTAAAGTCCCCCTGTAGTCAATCATTTTATCACTTAAACTCATCTTTTATCACCAAACTGACATATTTAAAAGTTTTTTTTCCCTTGAAAAACAGTCGTGCTTTAAAGGGGTCATATAATGGTACATGCACTTTTACGAGTTGATTGTACTGAAATGTGTGTTGGCAGTGCCTGTACACAACCATCATATAATGATAAAAATCCATCCAGTGTTTTTGTTTTAATCTCCTTATGTTTCCCCCTGCCTCAGATCGAGCCGTTCGAGCCTGTGACGTCACACGGTCGGAAGCCCCTCCCACGATTGTTGATTGACAGCAGTGTTTCAACACAGACCCGCCCTGAGGGAGCTGTCATCACAGTCCGCTAGTGTTGATCCGCTGGAGCAGAATGGCGTCTAAGCGATTGTGGTGTTCTGTTCTTGGGTGTAATAACGAACACAGTCATTCTGATGTTCCTAAACCCGAACCGCTGAAGATGCAGTGGCTGAGTTTGTTTTCGAAGAGAATATTCCCCACGAGCAACGTCACTGCTCTCATGTGTGCGCGAATCATTTCTCCTCAGACTGCTTTATAAACGAGGATCAGTATAAAGCTGGTTTTGCTAAAAAGCTGCTCCTGAATAAAGAATCGGTGGCAACTATTCGTGTTCCCACTGCACCTCCAGAAGAAGTGAGTGTAACGTTTTATTAATCTTTGCAAATCGCGGAAAAAAGTTTTTCATGACCATTAGCTGTTACATCAATCTGTCAATGAACTAACGTATACATCAGTGTAAACATAGCGTTCGTATCTCACTACTCTACCCTGCCAGTGCATACAAAGATAGATCAAAGTGACATTACGTTAACCAACCATTCAGAAACGTCCTGTTCGAGCCTTAACTGTCGAACTTCTTCGGGCCGTCATCTTGTTCCGGGTCCGACTCCGGCTCAAACTGATACGGTTGCACAGATGTGTCCTCAGAGACTCCCGCTGCCATTCTTACTCCAAAATATCCCCTCAACTGTAGTCAAGGCAACACTCCACGTGCCCGCAGAACAGAGGGGCGGAGTCAGCAAAGCTCATTATCATTTAAAGGCATATGCACTGAAACGGCGTGCTGAAAACAGAGCTGTTTTTGACCAGGTAAAATAAGTGTTTTCTTAAAATACTAATGAGAATTTTTAATAAACGTATATTACAAAGTTTTCATTTAGACCTTAAACATTCATATTAACTTGTACAAAAATGGCATTATATGACCCCTTTAAAATATCTTGTGTAACACGACACCATTGCCTCATTTAGTATGCACGGTTCTATGAATATGCAAATGAGCCCCGCCTCCACTCACTCACTCAGCTCAGAGATCCACTGGTTGACGGTCACACGTTGATCTGATTGGTTACAAGGTCGTTTGTGACGTCAGAAACACCAGCGATTTCAAACCGTGTGTTTGAGACTGTCTTTGGTTCACTGCAGTTTTAAGCAGGATATACTCAGCAATGCTGTCGACTTATGAACTTACACATGGTGTGTCTTAAAGCATATCAACAACAACACATACACATATAAACGAGCTGGATTTTCACCAGAGGGGAGTTTAAATCCTCATGATTTCATCAGATCCGGTGTGTGTGTGTGTGTGCTCAAGATCAAGAACACATATCTGCCAGTGGAGTCAGGAAAATAAACTTCATTCAAAGGGAAAACAAGATAATTTTTCTGACCCCATTCTTGTTTTAAGCACAAACTCATTCTAATAATTTTTCATTAAACAAGACTTAATATGTTCAGTCATTTTGCTTCTTCTCCAGTAAATGTGTCTTGATTTAAGAATGTTTAGATATTAGTGCTGGAAAACATCAGATGGTCATGTGAGTGACCTGCAGATGTGACCTCTCACCTCTCTCTCTCCAGGTCGGCCTGATAGGGTCGCAGCAGATGTGTGTCTGCGCAGGCCCTGACCTTTGACCTCTGACCCTTCGAGCCGCTCGTGGTCCAGCCGGACGGCTGCTTCTCTCCGGTCACGCAGAACTTGAGTGTCTTTATGGGAGCCAGCAGAGATTTCTTCACTGCGGACTCCATGATCAGATCTATATCGCCACTATCTGTGTGTGTGTGTGTGTGTGTGTGTGTGTGTGCGGATGGATCATGTTCAGTGTGTGTGTTGTAGACGAGACGGTTTAACAGCTCACACACGGGACAGACGGAGGGACTCAGACTCAAATCTGCAAGGACAAGGACACACACAGTTAGAACACCATTAATTACGTTCACACACATTAAATGTGGCGGTGTGCTGTGATTGGTCAATGGAGAGAACAAGATTCTGCCAATGAAGTTAAATCATTTTTCTGACCACACTGTCAGATATTCTCACTGAACAAGATTTATTATCACATTTTGCTTCTTCTCCAGTGAATGTTTAGATATTAGTGCTGGACACAGAAACACAGGAAGAAACACTGGGAACATGATCAATTACACAGTTTAGAGTCGTTAGAGAAACACATGAGCACAGAATGACACCACTGACCAATCACAGTCAAGTAATCAACAGAGACGCATGAAAAACTGTCTCTCACTCACACACACGTTCCTCGTCTCTATCCAGTAACACTCATCTGTGACCCGCCGCTCAATAAAACAAGTTTTTCCTCCCAAACAACGATTCCTCTTCTGTATTCCTCTTCTGCTGGACTGATCACTCGCTCGTCTGTGCAGATCCAGATTACTACACTAACGACCTTACTGCGGGGAAGCTCATTACACACACACACACACACACACACACACACACACACACACACACACACACACACACACACACACACACACACACACACACACACACACACACACACACACACACACACACACACACACACACACACACACACACACACACACACACACACACAGGTAGTCTAGGCATTACCTGAGAATGATGCTGCAGTTTCAGAGAGCGAAAGCCTTTCGTGACTGAAAGAGAAAAAACACGTATGATGTCATTAATACTGAACAAGCAGTTGTTAACTAATAAAATATTACATAATAAAAACTCATATTTATTTGTTCTACCTGTAAATAAAATAATGTAATGATAAATAACAGTGCTTGTTCTACCGGTAAATAAAATATACTAATAATAATAATATTAAATAATATTAGTTTGTTCTACCAGTAAATATAATAGTAATAATTCAATAATAGAGTTAATTTTTTTAGCTATAAATACAATAAAAATAGTGTACTTAGCGTTGGCAGGCGGTCCAGAATGCCGACAGGACCCGAGAGCGACACACCGCTTCTGTCCTCTCCAATGATGGCCGGTTTGTTTACGTATATAATATAAGCTTTTATTGTTTGTTTTTTAATCCTTCAATGGTTTGGTGCCAACTAGATTCCTAGTGAACCGTCATACGTCACGCCAGGTCTTCCAATCAGACGCTTTCAACGATTCCAAGACTTACATTCCTAAGCGGTGGTTTTATAGTATTTTGTGTTGTCTTTGTATTTAGGTATTACATTTACATATTATATTACATATCATCTCTGTACAGCACATTGGGCAACTATGGTTGTAATAAACTGTGCTATATAAATACATTAAATAAAAGTTTGTGTTTTTCCTAATATTAAAAGGAAAAATTATACGTCATTACCACAATAAAAGTATTTCAAACTCCAGCTTTATGGAATTTTGGGATATGAAAAAGTATCATGATGACATTCTAATTCAGCTCAAGAATAACCATAACATCACATGACCACTACATTGGTGGCTGTGTTCATACTAACAACATAAGGCATTAACAAACTCCTGGATAATGTAAAGCAGAGCTCCAGGATCCAGTCTGAGAGTAACGAGGCCGACAGAAACTCGTCAGTGGAATAATATAACGAGAGGACAGAAGAATGTGAGGAGGAGAGGAAGGTCATCCAGGCGTTATCAGTGACCCTGAAGAGGCCTTGAGGAGCTGACAGGTGAGGACACACTCAATTAAAGACAACAGAGACACTGATGGGTGTGTAGAGAAGAGCAAATACAGCGTGTGTGTGTGTGTGTGTGTGTGTGTGTGAGCAGCTTAAAAGATTGAGGAGATCAGCGACCACACGCGAACCACAGACGAGATATAACACAGACGTTGAGGTCATTTCTCATCAGCCTCTTGAGAACCAGAACACCTCACGATATAACACACACACACACACTCAAACAAACACCTCGTGTTTATCACACACACGGTATCATAGACGTCACACACCTCTGTGATCGGCTCTGCAGACACACACCACCTCCTCCAAACACTCCTGAAAAGATTAAAAATACACCATTTCATATCCGTGTTACTAAACGCACACGCAACCAGTGTAATCATTTCAGTCTCACACAGGGTTCGATGAACTACTAATGAAGTAAATCAGAAAAATAACTCATTTTAAAAACAAAAGACTTTTTAAAAAAGATTGAATATTTTATTTGTTTAGCTTCATGCATTAACCAATATCAGAGAACCAGAAAAATTATAACTTGTTAAATTACTATAAAATTCACAAAGTCGGCATGAAACTGAAGTTGCGCTGGTCTTTTCTCCTCTATTGTGTCGAGTGAAACCCTTCTGGAACAGGAACACATGTGGGCGGGGCTTGACTGTGTCTGTGGGGAACTGATTGGCTGGTTGTGGTTTGCTATTGGCTGATCTCATGTGAGTGACAGGTTATAGCCCCGCCCTCGTGACTGACTTCATGGTGACTAAGACAGAGATCACCTGACTGACACATTAAGAGACGATCACAGAATGCTTTTATTTACTGTATTTGCCATTTAGGCCAGTTTTACTTCACAGATTATACTACAATACAGATTATACAATCTCTGTCCAGAAGTAATAGCAACAAGTTTCATTATTTCACTCATGATTCACAAAATAAAGCAGATCCGAACACACAGCTGAGCTGGAGAAGATCTAGTTCAGGGTTTGAAATTAACTTTCACTCATCGGCCAATTTGGCTGCGACATGTTAAAGTTACCGGCCACTCAGAGCTTCTGCTAGCCAAAAAAAAAAAACTACAACAAAAAGAGATGAACCAGATTAACTACGTCACAGCTTATATACATGCCTATGTATATTATAAAGTTTGTATTTCATACATTCATCCTTCCTCTTTCCTCCTCAAACATGTGTTTTAGGAGCACAGATCAATACAGGACAAAGAACATCAGAATAAATGAGGATGTTGGAAAATAACAATGTCTTTTCTGTAAACCAAATGTTTTTAATCTCCGCTATTGCTTCAGTGCAAACGAACAAGCGCTGTTATATGTGGCGTAGTGACGAGTGTGTTCAGGTTAGCAGATATGAGCCGATTCTACGCTGTGTTTAATATATCATGATGACTCACGAGTATTTGCGCTGAATCTGCACAGATGTGTCTTACTCGAACTTCTCCAGCAAAGTGAGTAAACATAATGAGTAACACACCGACTTAGCTCGTGATTTGACAGCGTTCCTCGCCACAGCTGATTTATACCCGCATTTGGCGAGTGTTAGTTTCAAACCCTGCTAGTGGCTAATAATAACATCTGGAGATTGATTTGGTGGCACTAACCTGGTGAACTTAGTCTTAGCAGTTCCTCAGAGGTAGCCTGTACACAAGACTGCACTCCCATGCGGACACACACTGCATGCCGGACGCTGTGGCGATCTCAACGGCTCTACTCAGTTTATTTGCTGTATGGATAGAAACCTTACAAAAGATTCCTAGTACACACAAACACACACACACTTTCAACTCAGTCAAATGATATGAAGCACATTTTATTATAGAGAACACGTACTGTATATACAATGATATTCATTTAATACAAAACAACAAAAGTCGTAAAATAAATACTGAAAAAGTGTGTTTGTCTGCCGAGAAGCACGACATGTGCAATATCTGATATCCTAGGCACCTGAAATGATCCGAAACAACCTTAAGATGTTCTGCCCCCTTGTGGCAGAGCGAAGCTGTCCGTCAAACGAAGGCCGACCAATCAGGGCGTTCGTGAAGGTTTCAGTTTAATGCTACTGGCTGTTTCTCTCCTCCAATCAGCAGCGAGCGGAGAACTCACCCAATCATTAGCAGTCTCTTCATCATGACATAAGCATACGTGATTGGATGACCAACCTGTCCATCAGTCCTGTGGGCGTTTCCACCGGCTCAGAAACGGGCGTCCTCCATACAGTCAGACCCGCTGTGAAACACTAGCAGGGGTTAAAGGAGAGGTCAGAGGTCACCGGCTGATGTTACGGGAGCCGCTGAAGTGTTCGGCGTCTCGGACGGGACTGAAGAAAGGATGACGCAGCGCAGCGGAGAGAGAGAGACGCCGGTCCGGCTCGAACTCCATCAAACCCTCCAACAAATCAAAGAAGAGATGATGCTCCTCTGACTCGAACAACACGTACCTCTGAGAGAGAGAGAGAGAGAGAGAGAGAGAGAGAGAGAGAGAGAGTGAGAGGAAGGGAGAGAGAGGGAGAGGGAGAGAGAGGAAACATCTAAAAATGAGTGACCCCAACTCTTATCATTTTAAAGCCCTAGCCTGTACTGTAGACACAGAGTTAGCCTGTACTGTAGACACAGAGTTAGCCTGTACTGTAGACACAGAGTTAGCCTGTACTGTAGACACAGAGTTAGCCTGTACTGTAGACACAGAGTTAGCCTGTACTGTAGACACAGAGTTAGCCTGTACTGTAGACACAGAGTTAGCCTGTACTGTAGACACAGAGCTGCACTGCTGAACACCTGCTATGGTTATAACAAAATTCGAAAACACCACTTGTGGACACATGAGGCATTACAGTACTTTTTTCCTCTAACAATTAATATTGCCTTTAGAATTTGAATACAATTAGAATTTTGCTAATATTTAAGAAAGGAGTTCAGCCATTTTGAGCAGTCTGAGTCCTCGAACTGTAGACGAGCCTTAAATGTTTCGGCAACAACTAGTTTGCCCACAGAGATTCACAAAACTCTAGTATAAAAGAGCACAAAGACATTTTTATTGTTAATTGTTTTATTGTTGTTGTTGTGTAACTTGCGGAGAGAAAGCGCAGACACGGCTATATGGATTAATGAAGTGTTGTCACTCACTCTCAGAGGCCTGCAGTTCTCTCTGACGTATCGCCCCGCTGACGAGTTCTCGTCCCAGTCCAGTCGACCTCGGTAAAAGTACTTCTGCTTCCTGAGGGCAGAGGTCAAGTCAAGCTCACACACTCTTCACACACGCTTCACGCTAGAGCTGGGAGTATAATCCATGCATCGCGATACGTGGATTGGTTAAAATGTTCCCGAATGCATAGCGATTCTCTGTTTCCACATCTCACGTCATGTTTAGACCCTGAGCTGAGCTCTAACAGCAGGAGGGTGCGCTCGCGCCTCAGAGTGCTTTCATGACGGGAGACTGATGCAAACAGCCGCTACACACACTTTTAATAAACCTTTTCAAACTTTACGAATGATTATTTCATACAGGGTTCGTACAGAGACTGTAAAAATAAAAATCCAGGACTTTCAAGCACTACTTTTTTGGTTTTGAAGGACTACAATCAGAGATCTCTCTCATTAAATAATATCTTTATTATCCTTCAAATTCTAAAAAATGGATAAATATAAATAAACTAATAAAACAAAATGGCACAAATAAAGTGCAGCTCATGCAACGACTGTGGAAACTTTAACCACTGAAAGGACACCATGACACATCCTTCAGACATCTATACTAGATATCTAGATATCGCTTTCTTAATCAAAGTGAGTTTTGTTCTCATGAATATATGATTAACCTGAAGAATGAAAGCTGATATTTATGAGCAATCAGACGCGCTGCAGCGTTACTTTTGAGTGAAAACATCGTTTTATCAATCAAATTAAACACTAATTTCACATATTTTCTTTCAATAATTCAAGCACTTTTAAAGTACTTTTTAATAAATATGGCTGTTTTCAAGGACTTAAATTTCAAAAAGTCAAATTCAAGCACTTATAGCACCTTGTACGAACCCTGTGTATAGACGGTTTGAGTGGTGTGTGTGTGTGTGAGAGTGTGTAAGGCACTGGACGCCGGCCGAGTGCAGTGCCCTCTGCTGTCGAGTCCAGAACCGTTCCTCGATTCACGACGCATCGATTATTGCCCCAGCTCTACTTCACACTGATATCATCAATCATGATTCATGTTTCCTGACCTCGTTTTACGAATCATTCTTGAAGGAACTGGTCCATGTACTCGCTCCATCATGGCCAGATGCTCCCTGTTATCATGAGTCTAAAACACACACACACGTATGAAAGAACATGTACGGATCTGTTCCCAATAACAATTATGTTTACATTAATGAGCATCAGAGTAATGGCAGTGAATAAAAGAACTCATAAACAGAGATAAACTATTTGATTCGTACCAGGTCCGGAAAAAAATAATAATAACTATGATGTTTGTTTGATCAAAAATACAGTAAAAATT